ACCACTGAGCTACCCGGGACCTAATAGCCTGACGAATCTTTCGAGCACTTCTTACTTTTTCGCTACTGCTAGTGCATTTTTCATTAAGAATATTTTTCAGTATAGCATTGTGCATGCGAAATTGATAAAATATAATTTAAAAGATTCTATTTAATAAATGTAATTATAGCTTTTGTTAGCAATTTGGGAATTCCGGGTCTAGGTAATGTGGTATTTCAGATTTCCATAATACAAGGGCTGGTCTGTTTAAATTATAATGTCGTCTGATAAATTCTTAACTAAAAACTGTTTTCCCGTGCTTTCTCCAACGTTAGTCATAGCCTATGTTATCCTGGTATGATACAGCTTCCCGTAAGGTAGTAAAATCATTATTACAATCGGTTAAGTAGTTTCAGAGCCTATGTGCAAACAAATAAACAATCGATTTTCTTATACCGACTCTAATCAAATATTTCAGTAATCTTCTTATGCTTTGTGGCACATTTTTATCAGTCGAAAATATCCACATGCAGAGTGCTGGCGATTTTTGTGAGTTTTTGCGAATGCAAAAAAAATAATTACATCCGATGACCGACTTATGAAAATGAGCCACAAAAATCGTTCGTACTGCGCATTAGCTATTAGTTAAAATTCGATCTTCTTGCTTACATTATTGGGTATCGACTTATGTGATAGGACCAACTGGCGTTTTCTAATTCAGAAAAATGTTTCCATCTACAAACTCATTCCAATTATTCAAACAGGATATATGCTTCACATTAGCATATATGCAAAGTAATATGAAAGTGGCAGTATCATGCATGTATGGTAAATAAAGAAAAATATGTTTCAGCGCCAATGAACACGTATACGAAGATGTTGTTCATCCAAGGCGGACGAGTCCCTATTGTGATGAGTAATGACTGCGACGGTGGGGTCGTTTGTCGTAATGAACCAGCCCCTGCTTTTGTCCAATAACTTGCTAGCTTGCACATTAGTTACGAGTTCTACTAGTATACATTGCGTATTTATAGATCACTACAATATTATATAATAAGTTCCTTATTTACAGAACCCGACCTTGGTTTAATGCGGACTGTGCTCGTGCAGAAATGCAAAAAGAGTGTGCTTACTTCGTGTGAAGAAGAAGACTTTCAACTCAAGGCATGTAAGCGAATGTCTCTTAAGGCACGTTTCGACCACATAAGTCCAAACTATCATATTACTCTGCTGGTAGTAAACAATTTTGGTCTCTGTCTAAATCGGTTGAATCCAACTTTTGCCGTCCCAGTTTATCTCCCATGCCCATCTCCCTGACGGATCACTGGCACACTCCGCGGCTGAGAAAGCGAATTTATTTGCTTCCTTATTCCCGAACAATTCTCATTTGAATGCAGGCAGTGCAAGTCCACCTTCCCTTTCTCTCTGTGACACGTTTATGCCACAGGTACAGGTACACTGTAGGAGCTCAGATGGAATCCCAGCAAGAGTCCTTAAGGTATGTGCGCCTGAACTGTCTCCTATTTTAACACGACTGTACCGTCTCTCTCTCCAACAGAAAAAAGTTCCCAAAATGTGGAAGTTAGCCAGTGTGCGACTTGTACCCAAAAAGGGTGATCGTACCGACCCCTCCAACTACCATCCAATATCTATCACCTCCATAATTTGCAAAGTTATGGAAAGGATTCGTAAGACTAAGCTGCTTTCGTACCTTGAAAAACACGACCTACTCAGTGATCAGCAATATGGTTTTCGCCAGAGCCCGAACTACTGGGGATCTTCTTGTATACGTCACGCACCTCTGGAGCGAGGCTATCGAGAAACACGGCGAAGCGGTTGCAGTATCGCTTGACATCTCGAAAGCCTTTGACAGGGTTTGGCATACCCGTCTGCTGAGCAAACTTCCAGCTACTTTTACTGCTGACTTTTGTGACTGGATATCTGACTTATTGAGTGTGCGGTCGTAGATGGATGTTCTTCGGACCTCAAGGAAATTGACGCTGGAGTTCCTCAAGGATCTGTACTTTCTACACTTTTCCCTTTTCCTGCTGCACATTAACGACCTACTCATGTCCGGTGTTGTTGGGTACGCAGACGACAGCACGGCTACGGAAAGATACATATCTAACGCAAAAGCCAGCAGTGAGGACATTCCTATCCAGAGAGAGACCATGGTCGAGCGGACTAACTCGACCCTACGCTTAATGTTATCACGCCTGAGGTCAAGAGTGAGCCCATCTCGGATAAAAAAGTCCCACACACTGCCTGCTGTCCGTCAAACGGCGGGGATAATGCACGGAGCATTCCTCTACGAGAAAAAAAGGCTTAAACCTTGTTGCAACCCATGATTGTTAAGTTTTCAATCATCATCCACATGAACCAGAAATCTATGAGATTACCACATTAATATCCTGTGACGATGTTCAGGGATAAGTTTTTCATGACATTTTGACACTTTTATTAGAAAGTCGTTTTTTAAATGATATTTTCTCAGGACAGTTTCCTAACAACATAGTATTAATTAATAAAAAATAAAGATTTAATATTAAATGTGAAGTCTTTGCTGCATACATTCGTGGAAATTTAATTACCAACATCCGACGTGTAGCAAATTACGAGCAGGAACACGAGACTCTCAACGATTTCAAGAAACATATTACATTTACTTCAGTGAGCGCTATTCTATTAGTTTCATTTCCCTAATAATTTTAGATATATATTGAAATTTTTATATACCGGATCAAAGGAAACTAGGATTTTTAACACTTATATAGGCTTTTCTAGCACTTGTAGAAATGATGGTCAATTTGTGGGTAATGTAGTAAATATAATATTATAAAAAAATAAGCTGTACACCAAATGGTAAATAAATAACTACTTATAATCAAAATTTTCTCTAACAGTAATAGGCTTGAAAAGCTTGCATTTTATATGTATTTTTTTGTCTCCGATTTCATCAGCGCCTAAAATTTTGATTATAAAAACATTAAATGTTTATAATCTATTTATTTACGTTTTAGGGCACACAACTTTATAACATATTTATTGTTCTCGAGATTGGCAATTCTTAGTTTTGTAACTAGATATAAAAATTTTCAATAGGGTATATATTTAATATTACTGACTACGTTCGTAACAAAAGGTTTGTAACAAAAACGTCGAACGAGAGCAGAAAACATGTAGTCGAGGGCGTCTGAGTCAAGCCGCGTGGATGGTTCGCTGTGGCTTCATTAATCAATGTTTTTCCAACATCCCCCCGCGTGTCACTCAGCCCGTAAATCAAGTTTTTGCTTCATCCCCGTTATCAAATCCTGGAGGTTAAAGCAAACATTAGGTGCAAACCTACAGAAATTATAACCAAAAGAAAATAATTGAGAGTTCTGTTTTTTTAAATACACCTATTTTCATTTAATATTGCGAGTTTCTATTTAGTACGTCAGTTTTGTAAACTTAGTCACACCGGCTGCCATCTATTGAACTGAAAGAAAATCTTTAATCTTAATGCTTTGGAAGCGACGAGCATCTTTTAACAGCACTTCGTGAGGTTCTTGTAGGGTTCATACATAAGTTTTCACTGATGTCGCATATTATATAAAGAGGACGCTAGTATTTTTGGCAGAATGAAGATTCACCAAGAAAGAATGTTGAAAATAAAACAATCAAATGAATAAGAATTGCTATCACATTCAATTGTATAAAACTTATCAAAATTTCGTGTTAATGATTTGTGACACACAGAACTAGCTTTCCGCTAGTGGCCTCGCCCATGTCACAGAACACAATTAGTAGGGAGGCCCAGGGTTTCTTACCTGTATTTTACATAATTATAAACCTTCTGCGATTCAAGAGGTATATTGATGAAAACCGTATTAAAATCCGCTGAGAAGTTTAAAAGATCTATACTATGTATAATTAAGTTTTATACTATCTATAATTAAGAATAGATTTAACTTTATAACTATCTAAAACTAATATTATAAAGTGGAAAGATTTGAGTGTTTTTTCAAATAATTACATAATATTTTAATGAATTCTTGAGCCATCACGGAGTGCGTATTGTTTTGAAAAATAGTTTGTCCTTTAGGTTATTGTTTTAGAAATTAAAAAAAAAATCATCATTATAACCATCCTCTTAACATACCCACTGCAGGGGCTCAGGCCTTCCCTATGAATGGAGTCGAATCGAATCGGATAGGGAGAATGGGCCATGATTCACCACGTGAACCCAATGCGCATTGGTGGGTATTAACGACTACAGATGTGCCTGAACGGAGGATTTCAAGATAATAAATTTTTGGTCACCCATCCTTTGGCCTGCCATTGCGAGTCACTGCGCGATCGACCTCAAATAAACATACACTCTTTATTAGATAATGAGACACAATTCAAATGGCTGAATTAAACGAGAACAGTCTAGCTATTTTCAGTCGGTGTCAGCTGTATTCGTGACATAATTGTATTAGATCTAGCATAATGGTCCGCCGAGTGCAGTTGTACTCACTGTGTGCGATGTTCAGGCATTCGAGTTAGCTTTACTAAGTTATGCTAGATTTGTACTAAATGAATAAAACATGGAATTAATAGGGAGTTATTTACAATGTTTGGAAGTAGTTTTTTGTTTTTGTATACCTTACGTGTTCAGTGAAAGAGCATTGGGTAAGCTGATAAACTTTATGTATTTTATATATATGTATAAATATGATATATGCAGTTCCATCTAGTATTTCTAAGACCTCTGTCTGTCATCAGGATGTATCTCATAACCGTGAAAGTTAGACAATTTAAATTTTCACAGATGACGTATTATTTATGTTACCGCTTCAACACATTTGTTTCTTTTATTTTTTGTTCCATTTTGGCAATCACATTTTAAATTATTTTTCTTATGACTAAATATTAGCAAAATATGTATTGGACTAAGCAACGTACAATATTGCTTTTACCAACCGACAGCATTGTTTCCGTATTTTTTTGTGTGTATAATTTCTTAAACACCTTATGTATATTTTAAATAAGGTTAGATGAAATTATTTGGAGATTTCGAGAAAAACATGTTAATCATGCATATAATGATCGTACTTCTATTTGTTTCTTTGCATCAAATACGCTCCGAAACTACTAGTCCTATTTTAGGAATTCTTTCACCAACGGGAAGCTACATCATACGCTAATGACACAATATATAAGAGAGCAAAGTTGCAAAAATATAGCTAGTGTATATGTCAACGGAAAATAACAAGAACTGCAAATTGATAAATTTCCTAGGAAATTTATTTATTTACCGTTAGGGAGGTAGTCGAAACTGAAAATTGCAAGCCCTACTCGCTAGACCCGCGACGGAGAAGGACCAAGCATTGTCACTACAAATTATAGTTTGGTAAGTCTGTTGATTGCACCTAAGTCTATGGGCACAAGCACTGCCACTGTCAACATCGACTTATCAGAGAGCAGTGTATTGTTTGCCGTATTTCAAAGAAGCGTAAAATTAAAAGCTCTTCTTTTATTAGTCGAATCGTTATTGGTGGAAAATTTACCACGAGACGTCACAAATTGATACATTTACGAAAATGTGAGCGTAAAATAATACAATTTATCTCTCGTTTAGAATCCTACGAAAGTTTATAAATTTCCTAGGAAATTTTAATTTATCAATTTGTGGTTCTTATTAATTTCCGGTGACATATATAAATATAAATTATGAAAACTTTGAATGTTCAGGTGCAATATACGACGATGGAAGTTTTTTGATGGAGGCTGCTTTCAATGTAGCCGTAGATGCAGCATCGGCGGGCATAGATAATCCATTTAAAGCCAATGTAATTCGAACGTCTCCAGGCGATTTGCTAGAGAGCGAACAAGCGATGTGTACTCTTTTAGAAGAAGTAAGATTGATTATTTTTTCTATTTACGCATTTATTGCATTGCTTAATCCTTATATTAAGCGTTCAATAAATGTGTACATTGAACTGTTTAATTTAAGAATTTATTTAAAGTTATAAACCTATTTTATTAAGAATCAAACTTGATATGAAACTATGTTTTCCTACTGCTAGATATTTTTACTAATGATAATCGTTTCAGAATAACATATTTGCTGTGTTCGGACCAAAATGTATAAGTTCTATACAACATGTGCAATCTATCTCTGACACTTTTGAAATACCCCAATTATTAACCGAACCTGTTACAATACAAAATCGAAATTGGTCAGCGATAAATCTATATCCAAATCACATAGCCTACTCACAGGTAATAAAAATAAATTATATAAAACAAACAATATTATATTAAATATTTAAGAAGTTTTTATGCCGTTATAGCTTTTTGCCGATATTATTCAAGCGAAAGGATGGCAAGAATTCACTATTATTTATGAGGGCGCCGAACTTTTACCTTTCTTAGATAACATATTTAATTTAGAAGATTTGGATTTAGGTGAACGGATACTAATGAACGTTGTTCAGTTGCCAGATGGCGATGATTACAGGTATTATAAAATTATCATCTTGTACCATACCATAAAATCATCTTGTACCATAACATTTAATGATTCCTCTTCGCCTCCTCTTCTTATGATAATGAAAATTACTAATCAATGTTACATTAGTTTCTAATAAAGTAAAAGTAAACCATTAAAAAGGTACTTTTAATGAAATGCGATTTCATAGGATCCCTTCATTTAGTATAACGTTTTTACTCCTAATATATTTTGGAATAACCGTTTATTATAATTGTTTTTATATAATAATACTTTGCCGCAATTGTTTTTTTTTTGCATACAGTATATGTTGTCTTCATTATATGTCCAATTTTTCATCATTAGCATAATTTTCATAGAACTGAAAGAACTGATTAATTAGTCAGGATGGGTTAGATTTTTAGATTTAAAGAAAGTAGTGCATGATAGCTTGAATGTAAATATTTGATTTTTATTTCAGACACCAACTGAAGGATATAAAAAATTCAGGCTCATTAAATTATCTCCTATGCAGTAGCCTTGAAAGGTTATCACAGTTCATGCAGCAAGCACAACAAGTCGGTATAATGTCTGACGATCATAGCTACATAATAATGAATCCCGATTTCCAAACTATCGACATAGACCCATACAAACACGGCGGTTCGAATATAACAGGTAACTCCAAGTATTTTTATCATAATACTTTATACATCATATTTTTATTGAAAGCATAAATTATTAGTATATTATTATTGGCATAAAATATCGGGGGCTCGATAAAAATAAGATACTTATATCGTAGCAATCCCTTAGATAACTATGTAAAACGACATTATAAATTAGTTACTTGTAGGTAAGATACAATCTCTTTTTTTCATTATTATTTATTATACTACAAATATGTTTACAGCTGATATTTTATTAAGAGGAGCTCAATGGTGGAGTAGTTGGCGACTTTATTCTGGGATACTGAAGTTAAGCAACTTTGACAATGGCCGGTTATGGGATGGGTGACCTAACATTTGTTATTTCAAGCTTCTTCGTGATTCAAAAGGGACGTTAAGCTGTTGGTTCTGGCAGCATTTTCTGTTATTTAATGCACCAATCCGCGTGGGCGTGGTGGGTCATGTATGACCGGTTTTTTTTCCATTCGATTTGATTCCATTCTAACTAAATAACAAGTTAATATTGATAATGGTGTTTCGTTTTAGGTGTAAGATTTTTTGATCCAAGCTTAGAAACCATTCAGAACTTTATAAATTCTGTGAATGAGAAAGTATTAGAACTATCTGAGGAGCAAATAGAAAATGAAATTGGTGAAAATGGTTTAACACTTAATTTGGCTTTGATATCTGACGCAGTGACAGTATACACTACTGCTATTAACCTTCTTGGAATAACAGAAGGTGCTAACGTTTCTTGTGATCAAGCTGAAAGCTGGAATTTTGGATCCAGCATTATAAATTTTGCTAAAACGGTGAGAAAATGACAATTATACAAATAAAATTGTTAAAATATTTTAAAATTAATGGGTGTACTAATTATTCTAATTAAAATTCAAATTCCATCATTAAATCATAGGTTATTTTAAGACTAACCATGCTTGTTGATGTTACCTTGTTAACTTCACGAGTAAAATATTTTCACATTTTAAAAAGGTTAGTATTACAAAATTTAAGAAAAATCTATGCAAATCATTAGCATATGATGTACCCCGAACATTTTCGGCAGTCACATGTCAAATGGTGACTGTTCCAATATTATATTTTAAAGTAAAAATTGTTAAAGTAAGATTTACTTTAACAATTTCTGTTATTGAGTGGGTCACTCAACAGTCTTAAGATAACGTTGATTTTAAAGTCCTGGGTTAGAATCCCGGTAAGTCTACATAGACTTACCGGGATTCTAACCTTCTACATAGAAAACGAACTTATTTTAAATTGCTTCAGATCTGGGTGTTACGATTTCTGATTTCTATAACATGATAGCATTTAGCTATTTAGTCTAAATAATTCATGTGATATTATCTAATTCATATACGTAGGTGGATAAAAATAATAAGCTGTATGGTATATTGTCTATTTTTATTTTTTTCAATTGTAAACTATTTGCATGAAAATTAACAAGGAACATGAACAAACAAACCTTTAGAACTGAGCAGAATAAAAATAGAATTTTTGCGAGTAATTTTATTATTGCTAACTAAAATTAAATCACTTTACTCATTGCTGTAGGTTGAAATAGATGGTTTGACTGGATTAGTAAAGTTCGACGAAGATGGCTTCCGTACTGATTTTGAGATTGATATTATTGAAGTGATGAGTCATGGGTTTGAAAAGGTGAGCGAATAGAAGTAGATAGTCGCGCATATAAAAAACAGACAATGAATCAAACCGCTGAAAAATATTTATTACGTCTTAGGTACACTGGAATCTGTAATATGAAATCTCAGAAACTACAAGTGCTGAGAATTAAAAAATGCATGGAGGTTATTTATAAGATGTAGGTTTTCTCTATGCTGAGATTTGAAAATTTTGCATGGGAGTTCGTTTTAGGATGTAGGTTAGGTTAGGTTAGGTAGGTACTCACTAAGACAGGATCTAATAGAAATGCATATCTTCATATCCAGATTTACAAAAATTATCAAATTTTAGCTCTATCAGTCTTGTTTCGTTTCAAATTAATGGATGGCACTTTTGAGAAACGGAACGTTAAATCAATAAATTTATTCGTAATGTTAAATGTTTAAATAATCCACTTTGTACCATCTCAGTGTGCGAGGGACAAAGTGGATTTTTTAAGAATTTTTTGTTAGTAATATTTTTCAGTGTAGCATTGTGTATGTAAAACGTTAGTCATATTCAATTCTACAATATACGAACAATTACATATTTATAATAATCGTAGAAATATAGATATCTCAATATCTATAGAGTACTGGATGAATTAGATTTTTGTATAATAAATTAATATCATAGTTTTATTAAGGTTGGTACTTGGACAGCTGAGGATGGATATACTGAGTCACGAACAATTGTCTCTCCAGCTGAGCAAGATGGATCAGATTCAATGAGAAGAAAGCATTTTATTGTTCTTACTGCTTTAGTAAGTAATAATATTTTTTATTTATACATAGACATGTAAATGAACGAAACGCAATTTGAAAACAAAACCTAACTTTTTAAAACGATTACACTTTTTCAAATAGTTTCCAACGACTCACATCCTTTGTTTATTCCCAAATATTCGCTACAGTTCCAATAGCTAAAGCCACGAATAACTAAGTACCGATGGTAGCAATCGGGTAATATAACTTTTGCTGCTGTAACCGTAAATGGTATTTGCAAAACCAATTACGAATTGATTAATGAATATGTGAAGTTAATGCTTCGACATCATAATGAATACAACGCCTATTTTTCTAGAGTGCTCCATATGGTATGCTAAAAGAATCATCAGTAATGTTAGAAGGAAATGATCGCTACGAAGGATTTGGAATTGAACTAATCGAGGAACTAGCAAAAATGAATGGTTTCAATTACACGTTCGAATTACAAACAGACGGTGTCTACGGTTCTTATGACGCTAAAACTGGAAGATGGACTGGCATGATGGAAAAAATTATGGACGGAGTAATAATTATTTTTTTTTTTACTTAATGCAACAGCCTTATACCTATGTCAATGCAGAAGGAATTCATCTATCTATTATCCTTCATAAGCTAGTTTCAAAATCAAACAGGGGTGTTTGATTTTGTAATATCAATATAAATTGTATTACTGTTTGTTTACCCCTAAAAATAAATAAAAACTATAACTTTAAAGTTACAACGAATATCTATGACAACAAAGTTGGTGGGATTTAATTTCATATTCAAAAATTATAAAAGCTCGCTGATTTATTACTGGCCCAGACGTCACTCGTAAATCACAAATGCTTAGCTAAACATGAGCAAGTTTATGGTAATATTTGTGATATGTTTAGAGTATTACTAATATTCATTTTGTAAATAATATTTACAATTAGTTTATGTTTCAGAGAGCAGACTTCGCCATAACAGATTTAACGATAACAGCGGCTAGGCAAAAAGCAGTGGATTTCACGAGTCCCTTTATGAATTTAGGTATAACTATATTATATAAAAAGCCAACAAAACAACCACCAGATTTGTTTTCGTTCATATCACCGTTTTCTTTTGAAGTAAGTCTTTTTTCGAAAATTAGATTTATTCTGAATACTTTGGATTTTTCTCATTACATTCAGCTTGTTCTTTGTCTAGTTTAACCTATCACAGTAGTTTTAATTGGAAGTGTATCACATATGTTATATTTTTAATGGTCTCTTAACTTCTAAATTTAATTGAGATAGATTTTTAAATTATTTCTCGTAGATATTTTCATCAATCTACTCGTATACTATGTTGTTCAAAGCTTTCATGGTTATTTACATTAGAATGATAGTTTTTACGGGATTGGTAATATAACTTTTACCCCGTCGAAATATCGGGAACTCATTAAAAATAAAAAAACAAACTATCATTCTAATCTATATTAGTATTAAAAACAGGAAAGTTTTGATTGTTTCTTTGTTTACATTGAATATACTCTAAAATTACAGAACTGATTTGAAAAGTTCTTTCGCCTACGGTAAGTTACATCATACGCGAGTAACACAGACTATTATTTACGCCGGCGAAGTTGCAGGAAAACGTTTAGTCTAAAATAAATGATAACAAAAGTGATTCGTTAATAAATTAGAATGAATGAATTGATATAGTTTTTGATTGTTAGACTTTAAGTAACACATTATAATTATATGCAATTGGGTCTTGTTCGTGCATTTTTTAAAAACCTCGTGACCACGGCTGCTGTAACGTAGCCGAAACGTCGAGGTAAATTAATTGTTTTAAAAAATGCACGAACAAGACCCGGTTGCATATAATTATAATTTAAGTAACACACTCCAGGAATTGTACTTATTACACAAAATTCTACTTGACCCCCATGACATAAGATTGTGGTCTATATTTTCAAGGTTTGGGGTTGGTTAGCTGGAGCTTTTGTTGGTGTGTCAGTTCTCCTATTTATTCTTGGTCGTATCGCTCCTGAAGAATGGCAAAACCCTTACCCATGCATTGAAGAGCCGGAGACATTAGACAATCAGTTTACATTAGCTAATTCCTTTTGGTTTACTTTGGGAAGTGTACTCACTCAAGGCTCTGAAATTGCTCCTATGTAAGTCTTATAATGTGGCATATATTAATGTTTTCTTATTACCTCAGTTCCCTATTCAAAAGATCACGTGCTAATTGCTGACGTAAGCTTATGTCAATGAAGCATTAATATTAATTGAATTTGATTGATAAGCTTACGACACGTAATTCTGTTTATTAGAATGTTTTGCTATTTCGCTATTGAAGCTAGTATTTTATATTATATATATATACGAAATTTAACTATTTTCAAGTTCTTTTGTATGAACAAACACAATAGTAGTAGTGAATAGATTTTGAAGCCCAACAAAATTTTCGTTTCAATTTTTTAAATGGAAATAATCGTTTTTATGTGTATACATCTATATTCGTATTTATATAGTTACCCTCGTCATACTACCTCCGCTCTCTTTACATATTCCGATAATTGAGGTGGTCTGGAAGAGAGCACTTTTAGCAACAAGGCCGCCCTTGTCCACCTAAAACCATAAACTCTATGTAAATTGTTATTTAGATGTGTGCCATAAAGTGTTAAATTAATAAAAGTTTTACTTGTAATAATAGTATTACCCACTCAGTGGGTAGGCCTCCCACCAGGTGGACCGACTAACTTATAAAGGTTGCACGAAGCCGCTGGATGCAGCAGAACAAGATCTATCGTCATGGAGATCTATGGGGGAGGCCTTTGTTCAGCAGTGGGCCTTTTACGGCTTATGATGACTCGTAGTATAAGGTGTGTTTATTGCGAATGGGCCGCAACGGGGCCAATGGGATTCGAACCATGACCAGAGCAGTCGCCTGGATCGCGAACGGTCATGGGTTCGAATCCCATCTCAGGGTGCTAGGGACCAAGTGGATTTTTTAAGCATTTATAGCATTATGAATGCGAAATTGAACAGATGTATGTTTTTTTTAAGTAATCGTATTTACTCTTATTTTATGATTATCTCAACTTTCAGAGCCGTTTCTACTCGAATGGCCGGCAGTATGTGGTGGTTCTTCACGTTAATTATGGTGTCGTCTTACACAGCCAATCTAGCAGCGTTTCTTACTGTTGAATCAAAATTCTATGCAATCAAAAGTGTTTCCGATTTAGCTAATAACCCATATGATATTCACTATGGAGCGAAAATGAAAGGCGCTACTTATAGCTTCTTTAAGGTAAATCACAGTTTAAATAATATTTTGTTAATACACGAGTGAAATTGTATGCTGACCTTTGATTATAGGAATCCGATAACTTACTTTATCAGAAAATGTATGAATATATGGAAAATCATCCTGAATATCAACCAGCAACTAATGATGAAGGGCTTAAAAGGTAAATATATTTTTTCTATTCACCCAATTTTTTGTACATGTTTATTATTAGGAATGGATCTTGATTAACTCATTATTATTATAACTAATTATCACACTCTGTATAATATACAATACATAATCTTTGCAATGGAATTAAGCATCATTTATTTTATTTTATTTTATCAATAATTGTAATGACATGGTATATGCTGTTTATACCTGTAATTGGCGAACACATTGAAATTATAACTTTTGTAACTTATTTTAAATATTGTGAATGTTTTATGTGTCTCGTTGTTGGTGTACTTGTATTATAAATAAATAAATGACAGGGTTAAGTCAGATGAAGAGAACTATGCTTTTCTAATGGAGTCAACATCAATTGAATATATGGCTGAAAGGAATTGCGATATCGCTCAAATTGGTGGACTTTTGGACAGTAAAGGATACGGAATAGCTATGAAAAAGAGTACGTATTTTTTGTTGTATTTATTGTTGTTAAATTAAAATTACTTTATTTTAATTTAACAACAATTAATATTGAAAGACACAAGGTCAATATTTTATTATATTACCTAAATAAGGTAAGCTTTATAGTTTGCAACTCTACAAAAATCTTTTCTAGAATGAATTACACGACGCAATTATTATAATGTATTTATCCTACAGTAATTAATAGGATTAACGTGGGACGGTATTCAATTCGTTGAACGGGAATAGTGGCTTTTAGATAGGGAATAAGCTTAAATAATATATCGCACACCTAGATCTAAACTGAGACAACTCAAAAATTTGAGTGAGTTTTGACTTAGTACAATATTCAAATACTTGGTGATCATACGCATCTATCCAACATAACAGATTCAATAAAGGTTCGGGGATGAACCGCTAGATAACTTTAGCTTTCTTTTGTTGAATCAACAATGGTCGCGCTCCTGCCATGTAAACAAATGTATTGTCAAACCTCCAAATTAGCGTTTTGAGTTGTCTTAGTTTAGATCTAGGTGTGCGATATGTAAATTTATATAAGTAGAAAAATTTATTTCTCTAAATTATTCTACACTTCAGATTATGCACACACTATAATAACTTTTTGTCACAGCGCTTTGCAATTGTTGCGATGTGGCACGCGCACTTGAACATTATTTAAGTGATTGCCGTAAAAATAACAGGTGCCACTATAACAAAAATCACCAATGAGCGCGTAGTTTTATGACTTAAAAAGTTTGTTAAGAAAAGAATTTGTAAACCAGTCCATTACTTTCGGAGCCTGATTAATGCAAACAAACAAATCTCTCAAACATAATGGATTACAGCTTAGTTGGACTGTATTTATTTGTATATAACCAATTGAAAGTTTTACGCGCCTTCATAAAGATTTCTGTAATTGACTGTCTGTTGAAAAATTAAAATGTAGGTAGGTACGTACTTCTGAATTCATTTTAGATTCACCATATCGACAACCGATGAGTGAATCAATACTGCAATTGCAAGAACAAGGCGTGCTGACCAGAATGAAAGACAAGTGGTGGAAAGAAAAGAGAGGAGGAGGTGCATGCACTGTATGTATCAAATAAAAAATATAACTGCATATTTTTTTATGATTTCCTATATAATATTGAGATTGAAGATATTTTAATACAAAAATAATGTATTACCATTTGATACCAAAATAAAACAGGTTATACGTAAAATAACTAAAAACGATGTTTATCTGGTCTGATCTTAAAGAAAAGGTTCTTTTATAAAAATGTAAGCACTAAGGATCATTTACAGATACAGATTTCATATATTTAATCGGTGGCGTAGTGGATAAGCCCCGCGGCCTGCGATCGTTGTTAAGATGTGTGACCAAAAATTTTTATCTTGAGCTACTCCTTCGGAAGGCTTCGAAAGGAAGGTAAGCCGTTGGTCACGGCTGTATTTGCAGATTCCGCATTGTACCCACGTGGAGGGTCATGGCCAACCCTTCATAACAATCATAAGGAAGGCTTGAGACCAATACCAATTGCACTCTATTTTCTGTAAATAATGTTGTTTGATACATAACTGCAGGACGACGACGCAGGCAGTGCTGATGCTCAACCTTTAGTCTTGGCAAATGTGGGCGGTGTATTCATAGTGCTGGCTGCTGGATCGGGAATGGCAGTTGTTTGCGCTTTTCTCGAAATGATAGTCGATATTTGGACAATCTCTCGGAAACAAAAGGTATAAAACGCTATCTTTCATTGCTAAAATTGTGGAATAACATAATTTGATTTAGTATGAAAGAAGGAATACATCCATTGTCGTTTTTGACTTCAATTAATCACGAGTTCATTTCAAAAAAGTATAAGGTGTGTCAATATATGTATTTCTTTTTATCGAATGCTGTCCCAAATATAAAAAAAAACTTTGTTTTCGTCGGTAATGAGTCCTTTCCATACGTTACATTTGCATCTTTCTGTAAAACGAAACGTTTTCAGAGAACGTTTATATATTTAGAATAGATATTTACATGTGTGTTCCCTTTATCAGCCCTGCATGATTCGGTGTTCCTACCCCTACCAGATAAATGTCGACAAATTCCACAATTATGTTCGCTCCGTTTTTGGTAAGTTCATGATTATATATTCCAAGATAAGGTCTTAATTTACTGATTTTATTTTTATCAATGAACATAAGTTCTATAATATGTATATTCTTAATTTAATTTCGTTAAAATAAGGGTCTATTGCTTATTTAAAATTCCTTTGTCTAATTGAAAATGTGGTTTAATATTTTCGAATTTAGACAAAAAGCTATCTATTAGTAATTATTCCTAAATAATAAAATAATGACATTCCTTATGTAAAAATACAATTCATTTAGGCATAAAGTGAGTTTTTAAAATGACTAACATTATATTTTTAATCATATTTAACATACACATATTTTATTTTATAGGTATCATTCAGAGATGAGCTAATAGCAGAGTTAAAATTCATATTCAGTTCTTCTGGAGATGTGAAACCAGTTCGCCACCGTGAACCTAGTGGTAGTGGATCAGGCGGCTCTAAAGGGTCAAAGGGAAGTAAAGACTCCGAAAGGTCTAATGGTGAAGAAGAGAAGATGATCGATGTGGAATCGGTGAAAGAAGATGATGACAAAGTAGAACGGGCACCTACACCTAGATCCGAAAGATCATCTCACTCACATCATACGTTGCATAGTCGAAGACTTAGCAATGCTGTACAAATGGCCAGAATGCGAAAATATAGCAGAAATAATTTCTGAACAAACAAAATATATCTTGACAGCTCAATCTTAGAGTGATTTATAAAAATGCTGTCTAGATATTTAGTCATGTATAATACGCGGCACGTAAGTTAAACCATAATGGCGATTTCCCGCGCATGTCATGTACTTACTGCGTTGCTTACGCGCGTTACACTCTTTATCACACTCCCGCAAATCGCCATTTTAGTTCAACGTTTGCCAGCCTTTTGAAATATTTATATAAAACAAAAAAATAATGAAACCAAAAATATTTACATTATTGTGTGTATTATAAATTTGTGTCTTCAAGTTTAAAGTATTAAATTCGAGAGTTAATAAAACCTTTTTTTCTGTCTTTAATACCTTTTATAAATACTGTGTAAATATATCCAATTTGAACAAAATACCGCCCTATACATGATCATATTGGCTGTCGAACTGTTCATTAGTACCAGTTTGAGAAATGGGTGTTGTCAGTGATTTATTTATTTATTTATTTATTAGGTAACACAACAGACATTAATCAAAATATAAATGAAATAATAAGTAAAAACTGTGTAGTACTAAATTAATATCCTAAAGGTGTTTACACAATGAGATATGATAAAGAAAAAACAACAAACTATTATTATTACTTTTACTAATATGAAAGAAAACAGAAAGAATGAGTATAAATCAATCTGGATGGTTAAAAAGATTCGACATTTAGGTCTACCACAACTTTCCCAATACATTTTTTGAATTTAAAGAGATTGGCATTAAATATGTCTAATGCCTGATTAACTGGGAGGATCTCATTATAATTTCTGCACATACGAGCGATGGGATTATGATAAGATATGTTATTTCTATATGTCGGTATGACAAAAGTTGGTTGCCTGCGCCTTGGATTATATTTGAAATTAATGTTAATAGATGAAAGAAGATATTCTGAGTCAATTACGGAATGAACTAATTTATGAAGTGTTATTAAATCATGTTGATAACGACGAGTGTGAAGAGATGTAATATTGAATTTACTCAATCTGTCCTCATATGACATCAAACCACGGCTGGTACCGAACTTTATACTTAATAGTTTTGTGAATTTCCTTTGGATTCTCTCAATTGCCATAGAGTGATTATTGTAGAAAGGATTCCAAATCGTCGAGCAGTATTCGATTTTACTTCTGACTAGGGAATAGTATAATAGAATTAAGCTTTTTGCCTTATAAAAGTCTTTAGTAATTCTATAGATAAAACCTAAAGTTCGCATTGCACTGGTAGATAAGGAATCATAATGGGCCCTGAATGTAAGTTTGTCATCAAAAATTACCCCAAGATCCCTAACCGCTTCGCTGCGTCTAAGGACTGTAGCTTCTAGTTGATAATCGAAGATACATTTGTTACGCTTGTTTGTGAAAGATATGACAGTGCATTTGTTGATATTTAAAAACATACTATTTAGAGCACACCATTGTGATATATAGTCAATATCCTTCTGTAGTTTTATACAGTCATCAATAGAATTAATCTGTTGAAAAACCTTGAGGTCATCAGCGTACAGTAAGCCCGGGCAAGATAGTTTTTCAGCGAGATCATTAATAAAGATCAGGAAGAATAATGGGCCAAGATGGGAGCCCTGGGGAACGCCAGACTTAATCTCTACGAGATCCGACAAAAAACCTTTAATGGCGACCAGTTGGTGTCTGTTAGAGAGATACGATTGGATCCAGCGGAAAAGTGACCCATGAATACCAAATTCACAAATTTTTCGGCAAAGTAAATGGTGATTAACCTTGTCGAATGCCTTTTTAAAATCTGTGTATACAGCATCTATTTGACCGCCATTATTAAATGCTTGAAACAAACAATGACTGTACTCAAGAAGGTTACTAACCGTGGATCTACCTTTTGTGAAGCCATGCTGTTTAGGCGATAAATAGGGTTTGATGTGGTGGTATACAAAGTCATAGATGATTGACTCAAATATCTTCGCTGGACATGACAAGATACTTATTGGTCTATAGTTTTTGCAATCACTAAGATCGCCACACTTATGGATAGGTATTATATGGGCAGTCTTCCAAACACAGGGAAATGTACCAAGGCGTAAAGATAAATTGAAGATAAGAGACAAAGGCAGGCTGAGCTGTTTAGCACATACCTTGAAGATTATAGCAGGAAGTTTATCAGGGCCAGCCCCCTTATTTATATCCAACTTTTTCAACTTTTTCAGTACGTCGACAGAAGTCACTTGTACCTTTGTCAATGACAATGAGCCAGAGAGAAGCGACACGTCATCACAATTAGAGGGTGTTACCGGCAAAGGGTTCTCGAAAACTGAGGCAAAGTATCTAGAAAAAAGTTCGCATACACCTTTGCCATCAGACGAGGACACCCCATCAAGTGTCATTGTCTGAGGAATGTCTTTACTGTTTCCTTTTTTAGAACGCACAAAGTTCCAAAACGTTTTAATATTTACCTCCAATGCATCCTCAACTGACAATACATATTTTTTATAACAAGCATTTAGTAAACATTTCGCACGATGCCGTAATAACGAAAATGTGTCATAATCCCTAGGATTATTATACTTCTTGAAACGTTTGTGGTATTTATTTTTTTCAATCATACATCTCTCAAGTCCCGGTGAAAACCACGTTGGGAAATTGTTTTTATTGTTTTTACTCAGTGGAGTATGTTGCTTTATGGTATCGTCTAAAATCCGATAAAAAACATCGACAGCATCATCGACATTCTCTAAATCTAGTAATGAGGTCCAGTCAGTACTGTCGAGGTCAGATTGAACACGTTGAAAGTTACACTTAAAGAAATTGTAGCGTGGGTTTACGTTACATCTGATAGAATTCCCGTATTTTCCCGGCTTCAAATGAATCTCGATAGGAGGGTGATGACGATCTTCCTTAGATAATGGGTTTGCTTTGGAGACATTTATTTGGTTAGCCGTAGTGAAAACCAAGTCCAAGAGACGATGGTTCGCATTGTGTATATTATTAAACTGAGAAAGACCGCAGAGTGTGAGTGTTTCATGTAGCATTTTGGATTTGGGGTCAGTGGGAAGGCTAGGGGCAAGGCAGGCACCGTTACTTGACCAAGACAAATTAGGAACATTAAAATCTCCAATAATTAATGGAATGCCGTTATTAAAATGAAGTATATTCGACTGTATTTTATCATGAAATTTGACCAGCAGGTCAGATTGTATATCGGGAGGCAGATAACATACACATAAATGTATTAAGAAAGAAGGTTTAGCATTTGAGACGGAGACCCATATGTCCTCAGCTTCACTCTCCCAACTTAAATGACGAACGATATTAAAAGATTTTTTGATAGCTATAAGCACCCCGCCACCTTCAGATTTATGTATTAATGAACAGTGTCGGTCACGTCTAAAAATATTATAACGTTCATCAAACAATTCACCGCTGTATACGCTTTCATTCAAGTTGGATTCAGTGAAACAAATAATATCATAATTGTGATTTAACACATTCAAATACACATCTTTCGTTTTCGTTCTGAGACCATTAACATTTTGGTAAAATACACTTAGATTACGTTCCATTATAAAGAATTAAGATATGGTTAACATATACGATTAACAAAGTTAGAAAATTACATTTAAATTACACAATAGGTTTAGTTTAACTTGTTTAAGCATTCTATATTCTTAACTTGAAAAGCGGGACTGTTATCGTCTTTGCGGATATATATCTTTCCGTATTTAACCCAGACAAACTTAAAGCGATGTTCCTTAGCCCATGCTCGTGTGGTTGAGTACAGCTCCTTACATTCGGGAGAAAGATGTTCAGCTAAGTAAATGAGAGTTTTATCTCCTGGAATGCCAATCAGCGTCGTATTAAAGAGATCAGAGCGGTGGTCTTTATTATATCTTTTAAATGCTGAAAGTATGTTATCTCTATGGCGTTCAGATGGCAGGGTAACAAGAATATTCCGAGGCCGCGGAGAATTCGGATTCAGTTTAGCCACTCTTCTTACAGCGCATATATCACTGTCTTGAATTCCCAAACCTAGAGCCTCGCACATATTTTTAAAAATGACTAGGACATTTTCATTACGTCGATCGGGGACACATTGAATTTCTAAATTACGGCCACGCGATGACTTTTCAAGAATTGATAGGCGTATTTGTAAACTAGAAAGGTCGTTGTGCAGTTTTATTTTTTCAGCCTCAAGAAGCGCTATTTTTTTATTCGCAGTGTTAATGTCACAACGTATATCACGTTGTTCATCGCTTAAAAAATCAGTTGTTGTAGTGAATTCGGCCCTTAACTTATCAATTGTAGCAGATACTTCGGTTTTAATCATTTTGCTGATAGATGATTTAAAACTATCGAATTTGGTATCAAGTTTCGAATCCAATTTTGTATCCAATTCTTGTAAAAACTGAGCGAGACTCATATTTTCCACGTGTGAATCGGAAGAAGGCTTGGGAGTAGCCAAGCACCGAGTTCGATTATCCTTACTTATATTGAAAGAAGAATCTTCAAGAACAGAATTATCACAGGACATCATTGTATCACTGTGTTGTTCAACAATATGTTGTCGTACCGGTGTGTTCGGGTCTTTACGCCGAGTAATATTGGCGCAACTTGGACAGTACCAAGATTTTTTAAGTTCCTTTTTATTTGCGCTAAAATATGCTGCAGACATGTTTAAACATTTAAAGTGATAATCGCCCTTGCAAAGGTAACATTTGATTAATTCCTCGGTTGAAATCTTTGTTTTGCAAGCGTTGCAGTTCATAATGGAGACTCCTTCAATATTATATTAGCAACAAAAACTTGAATTGCTATTTCGCTCACGTAGGTGATCGTAACGTCACAGTTTTATTTTTTTTTATTTCAAAATATTAAAAATTCCACTTTGAAATAATAATTTTCTCACATATAACAAAATTCAAAAAGTGAAGAAAACAAAAAAGAGCGGAGATTTTGTATTTCCCAAGCCGAGCTGGGTTCGAACTCTCTCTCAGCTTGTGAGACGCAAAA